CAGCGGCGGGCCAGCAGCGGAGGGCGTACAGCGGCGGCGGCGGGTTCCCTCGGGGGCGCGGGCGGCTCCCGAGGGGGGTGTCCCAGGGGGCAGTGGAGGTGGTTATGGAAGTGGCAGCGGCGGGAGCTACGGAGGGAGCAGCAGAGGCAGCAGCAGAGGCAGCAGCAAAGGCAGCAGCAAGTACCAGGGCAGAAGCGGCGGCGGCTCCTCCCCCGTGCAGATCATCCAAACGTCTACCAACACGACCCACAGGCGAATCCTGGAGTAGAGGCCACGGCTTCTGCGACAGAGGGGCCTCTTGGCTCACAGGCCCTCACAAGGCAGAGCTCTCTCCTGTGCCCTCCCGCATGTCCCTCTTGACCCCTCTCACTTACCTTTTCACGATGGGTCTCAGCAATTTTGCCACTCTCCATAGGGAAGCAGGTGCATAACCCCAAACAGCAGATCTCTCTTTGGAGGGCACTGGCTGGCAGTCAAAACACCGCCTGTACATTCTCAACTCAGACTCCACTCAGCTGGCCCTTCTTCTGTCCCTGGAGATACCCAGGGGTCCAGTTTAGCCATGGAAAAGAAGAGCCTGTAGAGCGTCTGCAAGGTGGATAATGGAGAGTTGGTGCCAGGAACACCAGGTTTCTCACTCCCAGGCTCCGTCCTTTTCCTGGATCTGGGCTACTCTGTGAACAATAACCTAGCCCTTAGGGAACCTGCAAAATGAGACCTTTGGGCGAGTGGTTGATGACAAGGCAAGCTAGCTTGGCAAGGAGAACCTCTGTATCAGGGACCGATTCTTGCCTCTTGGTCTGTAGCCTCACACTTTATTATTAATGGAGAGTATGGATATACTGCCCACATCAGACACCTGTAAGTCCTGTCTGGTCTTGATTCTGGGTCTCTGTCTTAAGACATTAATAAGCATTATCCTCTGGGTTTATAGCCCAAGGTGGAGGTATTCAGAGACCAAGAGTCCTTGTTCATGGGGAGGATCGTAATTAACGGCGAGTGGAAGAGGTGATGGACAGCAATCCAGTTCTGTTCTGTCCTACCCCTCCTGCCAGCGCCATTCTTTGCAAGTGTGGCCCCTCCTGAACTCTGCTCCATACAAGCCCTTGAGAATTGTCCAACAGGCTGGGTGTGTGCAGCCCAGCACTGCTCTATCCAGGTGCCCAGGTCCTGAGGAATCTGAGAATTAGACTTGGATCTGAACCAGTCTGCAAGCTGCCTGTTGTTTGCAAGGTAGCTTAATGCTCTTTCCCAGATGATGAAGTCCCTTCTGCCTCTTGATCTCTGTTATGCTGAGCACTTTCTGAGAATGTGACTCTTTATTTGGGGTCTCACATAAGATGCTTGAGATGTGCTCAAGGGGGACAGGAAGGACAGCCAATGAACGGGGGGACCTTGTGGGCCCTAAGAGAGGAAAGGTGGCTTTGCTTCTAAGACCTGAAGTTGCCTCCACTTGCTTGCTGAGTCCCAACACAGTGTGCATGGCGTGATTCTCTTGGGGCAGCTCCTGGGCTGAGCCTGGGTCCTCTGGAGAGTGCTGTGACTCATCATTTCCTGGTTGAAGTTTGTACCTTGAAGGGATCGCCATTTCTGTTGTTTCTACAGTAAATTTCCTGTGATCTCAAACTGTTGTTTGGTCAGATGAGTTACTCTTCTTAACTTTTTGCAGGCCTCTGAAATCATTCACTTTGGGAAAGTAGAGTTTACTATTTTTATTATGATTTTTGAGTGCATAAGTAACACTCGATCTTCAAAAACCTGGCATGCATAATCATACTCATGTGATCCTTAAAGTGGCTGGTCATTCAAAAGTCAGGTACACATTTGTTTCCTAGGCATTTCTTCTGCTCCTACTGTGTGACAGGCAGTGGTCAGGCACTGGGAGTGCGATGGTGAATGAACACACTTCTGAATCTGAAGGCACTCACAACCCAAAAGATACGTCATGGAGGGTAGGGGGAGGAAATCCGAGTGTGGGCCCCCGTGGACCTCCTGGCCTGACGGTGGAAGCAAGGCTATATTGAGGACACAGGCAGACCCACCACACAGGAGCAGCGGGACCTGCAGGAGGTGTTAATGCTAGGGATGGGAAGTCTGGTCCCTGTGGGCTCCTGAGGGGGTGGGAAGTGGAACAATGTGAACAGAAGCAGGACAGGTATGAGCAGGGAGTCAGGGAAGGGCCCTCCAGACAGGGGAACAATTGGCTCAGATAGTCAAAGATAAGAGAGGGTGGGTGTATGTGAGTGACGAGGGGCGCACACAGGAGAAACTGAGCTGAGGAGATAAGAGGCTGAGGCCATTGACTCAGCAAGGCTCATGGACAGGGCTGTCTTTGATTGATGCCCCTGAGGGAGGCATAGATGCAGAAATTCAAGAACGGAGGAAGTGGTCGGGGTTTCGTGAGTACCAGAGCAACAACCTCGCTGAGATCTACTGAAAGTCAGCCCTTGACACAAGAGTTAGTATTAAAAAAAAAAAACCAAACAAACAAACAAACAAAAAGAATGGAGCAACTTAAGCTGTCCCCTTACCCTGTGTGATATTCCTAAGCCTGTGTAAAGGAGTCACAGAAATGATGTGACCTACTTTCTCATTCCCTGAAGGAATATAGTTGGAATTTGGATATGGGATGAATTCCAACATGACTGCAACTCACTGATAAGACGCTGTGTTCCCACGCACAATCCTACATTCTCTCTGAGAAGTTTCTCCCCCTCTTGCTTGTCTTGGCAGCAGGCCTGGGGGTGGGGGAACGAGGTGGGAAGGGGAAAGGTGGGCAGAGGAGCTGCCCGAAGGGAAGGAGAGAGGGAGCAAATAGATTTCTATACTTGAAGTCAAAGACCAAGAGCACGAAGACAAGAACGGGAAGATAAGGATAAACAGCAGTGGATACAAAAGTGATTTAGAATATTCAGCTGATGGTGACAGCACGTGAGCGAATAGGATGCAGTGGCCGCTGGGACTGGCACGGGGACAGGAGGAGCAAGTGTGTACAGCCTGCTTTGGCTCTTCTGTAGTCAGGCTGCGCTGAGGCCATGACTCTGTAGGAACCAGGACTATTTAGGGGCTGGGACTTGATGAATCAGAAACCTGATCACCTGAGGAGCTGTGGGAGGCTCTGGAGAAGGAAGTCTTGCGGGGGAGGGGAGGGAGATGTGTTAACTAACTGCAGAGATTTGAAGAGCTTCGCTAGCAAAGAGGAGTTTGCTGATGATCCCGATGGACAGGTGGGAACGCAGCAGATTTGGCCCAGAATAAGAAGCATGTTTTCATTGATGCTGATATGGGAGAGGCCACGTAGGGACTTAGCACATTTTAAGCAGAGATTTGCTAACCGTTTGGCAGGAGGTTGAGGGAGGGAGTGAAAGATGGGTGGGGTTGTGTGTACGGCAGCATTTCACGTCTTTGCTGCCCTACGAGTTTATGTGATGGAGCCGGAGAAAAAAAGGAATTTTACTCTCTATTTTATGTTTGGGGAAATTAAAGTCAGATACTAAGGAAGGATCAAGCCACGGAGAGGCCAAGAGCCCTAGCCAGGATTATAATGTGAACTCAGGTTTTCTGGCACTACCAGATCTATTCCAGGGCGGGGACTTGATTATCCTGGGGCCATGCAGGTGTGTCTGACATTCTTAGGATATCCAGATTGGCTTTGGAAAAAAGATACAAAGGCCAGGCCAACCAGAGGCCGTTGGGATTGACCCAGAAAACATGGCCCTTCCTATTCTCTTTAGAAGCCTTGACCATCTTAATCATGGAAGACTGGGGGACAGATGGAGGACAACATGTGCCTGAATCTTTGGCAAGTAGGGGCATGAGAAATGAAGGCCAAGGAGAGAAGAGTTAATCAAGGAGGATCTTGGGCTCCAATGAGACGTCTCAATGTGATATTCTGGGGCTGAGCACTAAAAGACACCGGAGGAGGTTTTCTGGTGTAAACAGTGTTCCTGTTAGAGACAATGAGTGCTCCCATCTGGAGCAAATGCCTCTTAGCTGAACTCACCCCAGTGGGGAAGAGACCTGAGCAATTTCATAGCCTTTGACCAAGTACAAAATGCTTGCCCCTGTGTTATCTCAGATGACCCTCACTGGCTCTGGGAGAGGGCTGGGGAGACACACGTGGTCCCTTCCAGGGACCAGGGGGCACTCCATCTCTGCTTCTGGTCAATGCTGTTCCCACAAGACAGATACTCGGAGAGCCTACAGCCCCAACCACTAATCAGCAGGGGGGCAGGTAGGAGGGAGCACAGCACTCAGGGAGGCAAGACTCCCAGGGAAAGTTTGCCAAGGGTTCCTCCCTCTGAGAGGCTGTGGTAAGGGCGGGGGCTCTGGGAATCTAAATTTAATCCCACTGTCTTCTCATTTACATAGATTTTGATCTCGAGATGTGGTGAACAGGAGGAGCAACCATAGCTCAAAAAAATTAACTCTGTCTGACCTTGGACAAGGCATACGTTTCTGGGCTGGGAAAGTCTTTGGTCTAAGGACATCTCTCAAGAATGCTGCCTTACCCTCAATTACTGGCCCTTCGGCCCAGGATGTATCGTCAGATTATGAGCCGGGTACGCTGATGTTTCCTCTTCAAACTGAGCGTTAATGCCCATTCTTTGGTTGGATCTGCTGCCCTGATCAGTCCAGGAAACTGCGTGTCTTCAGGTTGATCAATGCTGTGTTGCAAAGCTTGCAATGTTGGGAGGTTCTCGGGCGTGGAGGATCTGTTCTGAACATCCCAGTGCTGAGCCTGAAGGGCTTCTGGGAGCCTCCGATTGCATGCCTAGCCCAGTGTGCTCAGCCCTGGGGATCATCCCCACCCTGCAGAGCAGGCATCCCACTGCCAGAGTAATTCCCAGTCTAGTCTTGCTCCCATCAGCTCAGGTGCACTCAACACTTCTTCCTGTATGTGATGGCCCCCTCGCTTCCTATTACGGATTAATGGTCCACTGTTCCCCCTACTCCAGATTCCCTAAGACTTCCTCCCACAAGGTGTCCTCATTTCAAGAACTTGAAATTCCTTTCCAGGTCTTTTCACTGTTTCCAGTGAAATAGGGGCTTGTTCCAAAGCTTTTCCTGATTGTTGTATCATTTTCTGAGTCCTTCCAAATGCAAAGATGAGAAAGAATCCCTTCTTCTTCTCTCTGTCATCTATTCTACCTCAATCTCCCTGTAAAATAGATATAATCTCTATTTTACAGATGAGAAAACCAGGCTCAGAGAGGGTAAGTGACCTGCTTAGGGTCACACAGCTAGAAATTTGCAGTCTGGAGTGGGACCCAGTCTGGCTGATTCCATGCCTTAAAGTAAGACAACCTCCACCTCTTCTACATGCTCATCTTTGGCTTCCCCCTTTCTGACCTCTGCTCTCCTCCAGCACTGCCGGTGAGGGACTCTGGGGGGCCTCCTTTGCTGTCTGTCTTGGAACAGGCTGCCCCTAGTTCTGCATCTCTTCCTCCTGTATAAGAAGCCTCGGCCCCTCCTCGGCTGGCTGCCAGCTTTCGACATCTCACCCCGCCTCCCCATTGTGTGTGATTCTTCTTTACGCCTTCCAGCCTTCAGCTTTCCCCACTGCTGTGACATTTTCTCCTCCTACGTCCCTGGTGGAGTCCCGCAGGGCTGGGCGGCTTGTCATTGCATGTTGCTCTTCGACACTTTTCTCAGTCCCATCCCTCCAAAAGCTCTCCAAATGTCACCACACCTGCCCTGACCTGTCCCCACAGCCTGCTAGTGGCAGCCCCATCTCAGTGACCGGTTCTGGAGTATGAGTGAGGGTCTTTGGGATTGGAGGTGTTCTGGTACTCTGTTATCCGGCTCTGGTGGGGGTACCCCTCAGAGGTAGGAAACCATGTGGATGGCTGGGCAAAGAGGGAGCCTGGGAGGGTACCCAAAGACAGAGGACTTAGTCTTGACTTCAGAAGGCTTACAGAGCAATTAGGAGACCAGCAAATACACAAACACACACATACATGAAAATGAGCCAATCAATACATACTTGAATCTGACAGCAACTGAGCTTAGGAAAAGAAACCATTGGTGCAGCTGAGTGGTGTTAATCAAGGAACACTCCCTGGAGGAGAGGGCCTGTCTACTGCCTGATGGAGCAAAGGAGATGTAGGCATTTGCCTTCAAGGCCCAGTGGACCAAAAGCAGATATTCAGGCCCAAATGCTCAAGAATTGCGATCATAGGTGCCCCAGAGCTTGACTGTGGATGGGAGTTTGAAGATAGTTGCCAAGGCAACTGCAAGGCCTGTTAGACAAGCGTAGAAATGGGCTTGGAAGAGAGAGAGGGACAGAGAAAAAGGGAGGAAGAGGATTTCATGGTGTGGGCAAAGCATGTGAGTGGAAAGGTCAAATGTGAGGCCTGGTGAGAGGGTGATGGGGACAGCTGCAGGTGATGCAGCTGGCGGAGGCGGGCCAATGACCAGTGGAGGCTCACAGGATGCAGGCAGGCGTCCACTCAGAGTTTGATGAGCTGGGCTTGTCAGTTACCACCTAGGGGAACTTGGGCACATATTTATGAGCCTCAGTTGCCTTTTCTTTAAAATGGGGCTAATAACTACCACCAGGTGCATTTTTGTGATACTTAAATGAATTGTAGCTCCTAGCACATGGTTGGTGCCTGTTGATGGTAGTGTTTCTTTCTGCTTTCATTTTGTCTTTATTTTATAAATGCGGAGAACACAAACAAGCCAGGAATAAGGGAGTGTGGTTAACAACCTTCTCCTATATTTGCTTTTTAACATCAGCGCACACTCACCACAATCCTGGGGCCATCGTAGGATGTGATGAACGTGGTAGTGGGCAGCCTTACAGTTTCCCATCCTAGTAGGTAGCCTCAAAAGTGAGTGCTGGAAAGAGGATGGACATTTGATTCAGAAATTGGACGATTCCCAGGAATTGATTGCATAACTTGGAGAAATGTTTTGACTTCTGTGGATCTGCCTTCTCACTTCTTTCATAGGTGGGTTAGATGATGAGGTCTTGGAGTCTCTGCACATGGGAATATCTTGTGATTCTTTGCCCACTCATTTACAGGAACCAGTTCCCCCTTGTACAACCATGAGCCTCTTCTCCAGTTTTGGAGGAAGAACGCTTGAATTGAAACCAGAAAACTCAGCTTCTAGTCCCAGGTGTGTCTTTTCTGAGCTGGAGTGTCTAAGCAAGTCACAATCTCTCTGAGCCTCGGTTCTCTATTTTGTCAAATGGGTTGAAAGCAGTTTAACGGCTTAGTTCTCAGGGCTCTTGTGGGGATAGTGTTTGTGTATACTCTTGGTGACCTGAAAGGGCAAATGTAAACTGATGGTAGTTTTGTGCCTTTTGGTCCCTTGCGGCTCCTGTGTCTCTCCCTCCCTCTGGTAGCAGCTAGAGTGAGGTTTGCAGCTCTGTAAATTGTCTATTGATTGCCTGACCATCCACTTCTTTGGTTTTCTCTGTGTCAGTTTCTTAGTTTGAGGCTGGACCCACGGATCCCTGCAAAGACTGGCTGTGGGCTGCCGGAAGTAGGAGACGGACACACACCGAGAGACAAGCACACATGCAGGCATATCCATATGCACACCCCTCCAAACTGCTAGAAGGAATCAATTGTGCAGAGTGGTTTGTCTCAGGAGGGAGTTTGCTGAACTGAAAGAATTTTGATTGCCTCTCTCAGAAGATGATTAGGCAACAGTCATTACCACGCCAAGACCATCCCAGGTCCCATTGTTCCAAGTGAGGAACCAGATCTGGATTACTCATTCCATAAGAGATGGTTGGTTTAGCAGCCCAAGATGTTAGGGTTGGAACAGAGTCCTGGACAACAGTGCCATGGAGATGGGGAGCAGGCAGGGGCAGTGGAGAGGTGAGGTGAGGGGTGCTCTCTGGAGGACAGCGTGGGGCAAAAACTGCAGGAGAAGAGGAGGGACAGGGCGCAGTGGTGAGGAGCAAGATGGCGAGGGCTGATGCTCGGCCGTCCTGGTTCAGAATCACAGGGTGATGGGACCAGATGGTCTTCACAACCCCCCTTCTCTTGCATAGTTTGTATTCCACAGTGCAGACCTCCCATGTGGGTCTGTGATTTACCACTCAGAGGTGCTTAGAGCCAGCTGAAGTTAGAGCTGGCCTCTCCTCACTGAGTCTTTAATTCTGTGTTTAGATGCAAGTGTGGGGAGCATGCCAAGCTTCTGAGAAGTCTCAGAATGAAAGTCTGTGTAGGGTTCAGGTCTTTCCAGATCCCAATGCCACTTCTACCCAGTTACGCTGATCAAGGACTGCTCTCCAGGAAGGCCCCTGGAGGTTTCTGACCCGTCGCAATGCATGCTAGGTCCTCTTGCACCTGGATGGAAGCAAAATCTCCCCACTGAATTCTGTGCCTTGAATCTCCCCTTCTCAAGGTGAACTGAAGAAATGTTTTCCAAGCAGTTGCATGTGCTGGGAGCCATAGTTTCAAAGGGATCAAATGAGCTTTCTGCCCTTGGAGCTCTCTCCAGGGGAACCGATTCCCATGCTGTCTGTTTTACACACAGCGGGCAGCACGCCCTGAGTTCAGCTTTGTGCTGTCCTAAAACACATTAGGATCTTGTACACTATAGCTCAGCATCCTTTGTTCAAACCCCAGCCACGCCACTTACTGCCTATGTAAACTGGGGCTGGCTGTCCAACCTCCGTGCCTCAGTTTCCTCATTTAAAAAATGGGTGGCATAATCCCAACTATCTCAAGATTTTTTTGTGAAAGTTCAGCAAGTTAATACATATAAAATATGCAGACCAGCCCCTGGTACATGGCCAGTTTTTGATACATTATGATTAATTAGCTACTCTTATTCTAGTTAACTACTACTATTATTATTTCTATTGCCCAGAAACAATTTTACTTCTCAGGCCGGCTCTCCAGACTCCCATCATTGTCATCTCTTTCAAACCTACATTCATCTCACCATATAGTCTCGTGTGAGGCTGGAACCACCTATCAAATTTCACCCCCACCCCCTTGTTTTACAAAATGTATGAAATAGTGTCCATCTGTTCATTTCGCTGACCACATGGTTTTCCAGCTGGCATTTGCATGCCATCCGTTTGTATTGTTTTCTGTTGCTGGTGTCACTTTCTCCTACCTGGGTCAATCTTTGAGGAGAAAGAAAAACTGGAAAACTAGAAAGGAACATGTGTCTCCCTTCTGGGCTTTCCAGAACATCTACCCATCCAACCTGTTTGCTGACAGTTTCTCCTCCTTCAACATTAATGCAACCAGTTTATAAATCTTACATTTAATAAAAATAACTCCTTTAATTTTTTCACTTATTAAAGATATAACTTGGTGAGCACTGAGGTTTGGAAGGCAGAGCTCAGAAATGGGCCAGAGAACTCCTTCCAAGATTCAAGTGTAGGGAATTGCACCTGCCAGGTCTGAGGAGTGTGTGCTTAGTAGCTTACAAGGGCAAGACACGAATGGTAACTTACATATCTTTGTGACAGGTGGTTATGAAATCTTACCAAGAAGTATCAGGTGGCAGATGTAGGGTCCTGTTTTCCCAAGTCACAGTCACTCGAAGGGAGATTTTGTCTGATAACATGATTACCACTTGAACAATCTCGCATACACAGCAATTTCGAGAGCCATTCTGGGAGCTAGGTGTGTAGTGTTTATCGTGTTGTTGAGGCTCGTAAAAATCTTGTATGGCTGCAGGCAAGCCGTTTGGAGAGGCGCTGTATCCCGCTGACTCGAGGACCAAGCCCTACTTACTCCCTGTATATAAGGGGAAGTCTCTGTGCTTGGGGTAGAGGAGTGTCAGCTCCTTTCCTTTCTCGACCTTGCTCCTTCCTACTCTCTCCAAGTCAACATGAGTCGACACTTTAGCTCCAGGTCTGGGTACCGTTGCGGAAAGGGCTTCAGCTCTGGCTCCGCCGGGGTGGTCAGCTACCAGCGCAGATCCACCAGCAGCTCCACGCGCCGCAGTGGGGGAGGTGGTGGGAGATTTACGAGTGGAGTATGTGGTGTTGGGGGTGCTGGTGGTGGTTTTGGGAGTCGGAGTCTTGTTAACCTTGGTGGCGGTAAAGCCATCTCTATAAGTGTGGCTGGAGGAGGTGGACGTGCTGGTTTTGGTGGTGGTTATGGTGGCAGTTTTGGTGGTGGTGGCTTTGGGGGTGGTGGTTTTGGTGGTGGTGGCTTTGGGGGTGGTGGTTTTGGTGGTGGCTGGCTTTGGTGGTGGCGGCTTTGGTGGTGGCTTTGGCAGTGGAGGTTTTGGTGGAGGTGGTTTTGGGCCTGGCTATCCTGGTGGCATACACGAAGTCACCGTCAACCAGAGCCTTCTGCAACCCCTCAATGTGGAGATTGATCCCGAGATCCAAAAAGTAAAGTCACAAGAAAGGGAGCAAATCAAGTCCCTCAACAACCGGTTTGCTTCCTTCATTGACAAGGTGAGTCTCTCTGCTCAGGCACTGGGGGAGTTTCTCCTGGTCCATGTGGGATTGGCGCAGCCAAGGCGCGTTTGGCTTTGAGCCTCAAGGTGCTGAGTTTGGATGATTTAAAGGACAGTTTGTGGAACTGCCTTCTAGAAGATATATTAGAAGTATGTTTGTGAATGATGCTAGGGACTAAACTCTCTCTTGGACAAGGAGGTCTGTGGTCTACTGAAGTGTGGGTCAATTTGACATCACCTTAAACTGTTTTATATTCAGCTCCTCAGCTGAATTGGGCTTCATATATGTTGAATGAAGATCATAGAAACGGGGCTAACTCAATCTTTTGGTGTGTAAATGAGAACCCTGGAAAGGTCTTTCTAATCATAAAAAGGAAGTTTGAATGTGAAGAGAGGGCGCTGTGATATTATAGCAGAAAGTATGTAGCAAGTCAGTGCCAAACAGAGGGGAAGCACGGCACCCTGCAGATTTTACATTGGCACTGGATCAGGGTGGAGATTTTTTTATGCTTATCTCTCCAAGTCTCTGCTCTGGAAAAACCTGTAAATCACTTTTTAATTTTTGCTAGATCATCAATAATGTCAATACAATAGATTTGGAATTCAATTTTGGATTTTCCCAACACTTTTGAACTGTATGTATGCTCAGGGGATGCAAACCAAATTTTTTTATGGTAATCTACCTAAAAATAATTACAAGGCAACCTTGTAAGTATCGCGTGCCTATTTCCAAGTACAACTGCAGTAATTTTATATGTGCTTTGCTATTTGGTATTTGTGTAGCTGCTCCCTTCTAAAGTTCCAACTGAAACAGTACTATAGTTGCCATTCTCAGGGAAATTAAGTCTTCTCTGAATTAACAGTGAGGTGGAGTTTGTTATGAAGGTGATGCTAACTTGACCATCTTCTTCCTATTTCTCTGTCTGCCATGGCTGGCAAACAGTCATTGAAATTCTTTTCCAAATAAGGCAGGGCCTTGCTGTGTGGTAGCCCTCGGTAGTTAATGGTCCTAGGACTCCACTTCTGCACCAGTAGGTAATGGGGTCTTGTGCTCTTAGGTGAGATTCTTGGAGCAGCAGAACCAGGTACTGCAAACAAAATGGGAGCTGCTGCAGCAGGTAGACACCACCACTAGGACCCAAAACTTAGAACCCCTCTTTGAGGCATACATCAGCAATCTTAGAAACAAAGTGGACCTACTGAAAAGCGACCGATCTCGGATGGATTCAGAATTGAAGAACATGCAAGACATGGTGGAGGATTTCCGGAACAAGTAAGGATAACTGGCTGGGTAGCTCTTGACTTTCGTCCTAAAGTATTTTGTGAAAATGGCAAGCTAAGACTATGAACAGGATGTAACAGTAACTTTTCTTAGGTTAGAGGCAAGTCAATTTGGCATTTTTAGAAATTTTAATTTTCTCAGAAGCTGGTAATAGTTCAGTGGTTTTATTGCTTAGAAGCAAGGGATGGCCAAGATGTCCTAGGTTAGTAATAGAAGGGCAATGACAGGCAAAGCCGATTTTAGTTCAGAAAGCTAGATTTCAGGCCTCACCTCCTCTGAATCTCCTAATCACTTCTGATTTCCTTGCAGGTATGAGGATGAGATCAATAAGCGGACAAATGCGGAGAATGAATTTGTGAACATCAAGAAGGTGAGAAAATTCTGTAGGGTGGATATCACCCCTGAAATAAGTAATAGATGAGAGTCACCAAAAACTAAGCGGAGAGAAGTCATGATGTGGAGAACCAGGTAGTGGGCTGAAGAATAGCTGAAGTGGAGTTTTTCTCCCACGTTACATGGACTTGGACTCATCCAGGCACTCTGCTGCTCCAGATTGCCCAGCATTTCATGAAGTAAGCGAGGAGGCGGTTCTTAGCAAGTCAGGCAAGATATTTATGATTGTGATACCAATGGGTGGGGGTAGTCTAAGGATTGTGATCTGCCTGGCGTATAAAGGTGTGGAGAAGACCCCAAACACCTCTTCTACTTGGAAAATCCCCTCCACAGATGGTGAGAGGGGCTTGCCCTGGAATGAATATGACTTCACAATGTCCATTGTTCTTCTAGGATGTGGATGCTGCTTACATCACTAAGGTGGACCTTCAAGCCAAAGTTGACACCTTGCAGCAGGAAATTGACTTCTTAACAACATTGTACCAAGCGGTATGCTCTCTAATTTCAACCAAGTTTACCCAAAAGGAGAGCCTTTAAGCCTGAGCCCACCACTATCTAGAAGAATAGAGATAGATGTTCCACCTCCTGACCCTTCCCCTCTCTAAGTTGTCTTTTGTTTTATGCTATAAGGGTCACTGAAATATTCTGTCTTGCAGGAGCTGTCTCAGATGCAGACTCATATCAGCGAAACCAATGTCATCCTCTCCATGGACAACAACCGCAGCCTGGACCTGGACAGCATCATCGCCGAGGTCAAAGCCCAGTATGAGGAGATCGCTCAGAAGAGCAAGGCTGAGGCTGAGACCCTGTACCAGACCAAGGTGAGTGAGCTGAATGCCTGGCCAGTTTTCCTGAAATGCCTTGTCTTGCTATCTTGTGTTTTCTCTTCTATTGTGTGCGTGAGCCTCACCTAATTGACTTGATCCACCTCCTTTAGTATGAAGAGCTCCAGCTCACTGCCGGCAGACAGGGAGACAGCTTGAAGAGTTCAAAGATGGAGATTTCGGAGCTGAATCGGGTGATCCAGAGACTGAGATCTGAAATTGATAATGTCAAGAAGCAGGTACGTGCTTCCTTCTTCTACCGCTCAGCTCTATGGAAGCAGGGTGGGGTGCCCGGGTAACTGGAGGACAGATTCCTAACTTTGAATCTTGCAATCCATACCAATGTTGTGTTATTACCCTAGTTCCTTTGGTGACTAAGTTGGTTTCTAGAATTTGGCCATCATGCCGAGTTCTCCTTAGGGAAATTTGTGAAAGATGTGATGATCTTGAGTCATCTAGCCCACAGCCCGAAGAAAGACTTACACAGTGGTGAGTGAGAGGAAAGGCAGCCAGAGTAGACATTTAGAAAAATGTCAAGTCTGTAAGGGGTGAGGGAGCCTCAACTCACGGCCAAGAGAGGCTGCTGCATTACCTGTATTTAAGGAAATCGACACAGTGATGTGTTATCCACAGGCAGGTGAATTCATGAGATGATGTAAGCTCCTGTGGTTCTGTTGGACCCAGAGTACTGGCCTCGCTGGGTGGAAAGATCCATCTGAGATAAAAAGGCCAAGGTGGGATAAGGTAACTGGAGAGTGTATAACATGCTGGATTCTCCTTTCTCAGATCTCTTCGCTGCAGCAGTCCATCAGCGATGCTGAGCAGCGTGGTGAGAACGCCCTCAAAGATGCCCAGAAGAAGCTGGCTGAGCTGGAGGACGCCCTGCAGAAGAACAAGGAGGACCTGGCCCGCCTGCTGCGCGACTACCAGGAGCTGATGAACACCAAGCTGGCCCTGGATGTGGAGATTGCCACCTACAGGACCCTCCTGGAAGGAGAGGAAATCAGGTAAGGAAGGGACGCTGGGCAGTTTGGTCACTTCCTAGATGCTTCCTCCTTTGGAAACTGATCGAAGACGCAGCCATGTGACTGCAGCTTGTCCTGGGTATGGGGAAGGAGAGGTACACAGCCCAGGAGGAAAGAATTGGTTTCACTTTGGGAGCCAGATTCCCCAGCTTCCCTTTTTTGAGGGCTGTAGCATCCCCATGAAGTTCTTTGAAATTGAGCAGCTTACTCTCCATCTGGGCTGGCTCAGATGTCATCTGGCCTAAAGCCAACGCCTTTGGAGGTGACAAGCATTCGCTACAAGACTCTTGTCTAATTTACATGGAGATTTCGCTCTGTTTGTACTCATGCTGAGATAAATGATGGCGCTTGGGGAGGACAGAGGGGACTGGATTCGGTTTCAGATCCAGTGGATTAGAGGAGCCCCAGATGGGAAGGCTCCTGGAGGTGGCGGAGTGGGGGCTGGGGAAGCGGTTTGTGAAGCAGAAGTCCCGAGGGATTCGCTTTTCTTTCTCCTGCAGGATGTCTGGCGAGTGTGTCCCGAACGTGAGTGTGTGTAAGTACAAGCCGATGTCTCGGGGGTGGGGCATGCACAGGTTTTGCTGGGTTGGAAGGGAAGCGGGGATTGATGATAACTGAGTGCTCCCTTGCAGCTGTGAGCACCAGCCACACCAGCGTCAGTGGAAGCAGTAGCCGTGGAGGCGGTGGTTATAGCTCTGGCGGCGGCGGCGGCTACAGCTACAGCTCCGGGGGCGGCGGCAGCTACAGCTCTGGAGGCGGCGGCGGCGGCGGCGGCAGCTACAGCTCCGGGGGCAGCAGTGTGAGCCGTAGAGGGGGCTCTGGAGGTAGCTTCAGCTCCTCCGGAGGCCGAGGGTCCAGCTCTGGGGGCACCAAGACCTCTGGTGGCAGTTCCAGCGTGAAGTTTGTTTCCACCAGCTATTCCCGAGGAACCAGATAAAGAGAGGCACTCTCCATCCCCGTTAGCTCTCCCTCTCCATCGCTACCAAATCTGGCAAGACCAAGGCCAACTGCTCCGGTCTTACTGGAGAAAAGGGCTATGGTTAGTTACACTGGTTCATCCTAGTCCCCCAGCTCTTTCCTTTCTGCTCTGCTTCCCAAAGAAGTTTTTAGATCAGTGGCAATCTCAGCCCCCCAGCTGTGACCCTGCTTTGTGCTTTGCCAGTTCAGCAATCACCACTCCACACATTACATTTCAAAGCACCTCATTAAGTCAGCCAGGGGAGGGCTGGTCAGATCCACAACTTCTTTGTCATGCATGGAGCGCATGCTCTGGACAGCATCTTAGTATCTGAACTCTTGCAGCAAACTCTGTGCTGCTTTGGTTTTGTACATAAGGTGTAAGCAAGTTGTCTTTTGTGGAGAAGTCTTTAATTCCCCGTTTCCTTGCATTGCTGCAATAAACTGCATTTGAAATTCTCTCTGAGTCTCAATCTCCTTTGTTCACGGCACTGTCTATCCTGCATGGGTGCTGTATTTGGGGCAGAAGACTGGAGCCCCATGGCGCGTGGGGGAGTGGGGACGCATGAACATGAGCAGGATGGGGAGGCTGGGCAGGCAACATTTAACTTGAAACATTTAACATTTAACTAGAACAAGCTCTTTCCCAGAGGATGGAGGTGTCGTGGAGAAGTGGAGAGACTGGGGTAGCAGGTTTTACTCATCTGAGAAGGCTTTCTTGAAAAGGGCAGTGAACAAGTCAGTTGGGAAGGAGAAGAGGGGACAGTATTACATGGAAGAGTAATTGTTCATGTGGAACAGCCAGTGACGAGAGGGTTGTGGGTAACACGGGGTCGGCAGCTACTACAGCCGGAATGCAGACTTTGGGGATTTCAAGAACCAAGAGTGGTAATGGAGAGCTGGATAATCATTTCCCCTCTCTTTCAGGCCACCATCCAAAGCCCTGCTTAGTGGTAGAAGAAGTGCATCCGTGGACATGAAGCCCATGCTAGTGAAGCAGTGAGGTGGGATAGCAGCTTGGCCAGAAGCATGGACACTTGGAATCAGATGTTCTTGGCTTTGGACCACCACCATTTACTAGCTCAGTGTTGATGAGAAGTTATAGACCTCTCTACACCTCAGCTTTATTACCTCTAAAATGGGGACAATAATGCCTTCCTGGTAGAAATTATTGTGAGGACTGAATGAGATAATGAACGAACATGACTTAGCACATAGTAAGCACTTGGAGAGTGCCAATTTTAATGATAATGGTGATGATGATGATGATGATGATAATGATCTGCCTGTTGTAACATTGTTAGTGGTCTCCAGGCAGCTCAGTAGATGTTTATTCTAAAGAAAAAACGAACATCAGCTTCCCAGCGATTCCATGATCACGAAAAAGTTCAGCCAACTTCTCTGAGGAGCAATTTTCTTAGCCTCCAATTAGGAAAAGCATTTCTAGCTCCAGCGTCAGCTAGGGCTGAGGGGAACAGGGAGGGTATAGATTGATACGAGTATCATGTAAGTACCATCAGTGAGTGCTCTCCCTGCTCCCCAGTCACGCTTTCATCAGAGCTGCTTCCTGTCTGACTGGTGTGAGAGCCTGGAAGGTATTTTGGTGGATGGAAAGAACAAGGAACTTTGATTCTGAGACCCTGGGTTTAATCCACTGTGATGCTTATGAGGCAGAAAAAGGAAGACAATTCACAGCTTGTGTGGGTCATTGGGCAAGTCACTTGCCCCTTCTGAGCTTCAGCTGCTTGTAGGTGAAATGAGAATGAGGACATTTGCCTCCAGACATTAAGAGGATAAAATACACAAGTTGAAAATGCTTTGTGAGCTGTGAAGGTGTTATACAGTAGCTAAATGAAATTAAAAGGGAATGACAAATGAGTAGACAGTGGTGGCTCGCTGTCAGGGTCACCAAGGAGGGAAGTACCTTGACATGATCACTGTGGCCCTTCATAGCTCTGCAGGGACATAAAATTGATATTGTTAGTGAACCCAAGTTGAATCTGCTCTTCAGGCCTGATCCTTGTAGGCCAAACATAGTAGAGATGGATGTATGGACCAGACCGTGTATTAGCTTGTGAGGAATTCACATTTTCGGTGACCAAAACACCAGAGCATCACCATCCTGTTATCAATATACCTGGGGAACTGAATTAGTCACAGTGGGTGGCTTGGTGCTTGTGGATTTAGAACAAGGGTTGGATGGTCTTGAGGGAAGTGGTTTCCTCTCCTGCATGGGTGGACAGACCTCTGAGGTCACCAGATACAGCATGGGGGACTCTGTTGGATGAACAGTGATGTATTCTAGTGCTCTGGCACACATTTTCTAATCTCTCTTTAGGTTACAAGTTTCTTTAGTCACATTTCAGTATTGGGAATACCCTTGTTTGTCTTGTTTGGACTTGGGTTTTCTTGATAACATCAGATAGGAAATAGAAATCACTATAGTTTATAGTGAAACTTATCAAAAGTTGTAAGGTCACAGGACTATATGAAGACCCTGTGTTAGTCACTATATAATGAAGAACTAAAATGAGTATGATCAAGTGCCCAAATGCGTTAGTACTAGAAAGGCAGCGAAGGAAAAATCTGGATACTGATTAGTTCAAAAAACAGTTCTTGCAAACATACTATGTGTCTGGGAAACATTGGCGAAACATTGAAGGTATTCTGATGAGTGAGACATGGTTCTTGCTCTCAAAGACTTGGGTGATGAGGAGTATGAAAACGTGTCATAATGCATATGACTCATGCAATGGTAAAAACACGTACATGGAATAGAAATGGTACAATACAGAAGTGAGAGTGATGAAAAGTTATGCCTGGCTGGGTTTTAGAGGATAAACAGGAGTTTTTCAGGCAGACAAGGAAAGTCAAGACAGACAAGGACGTTTAGAGAAGGACACTCCAGGTAGAAGGAATAATATGGATAAAGACACAGAAGAGTAAAATTGCATGAAGTAATTGATCATCTGAAGGATCATGAAGTTAGTGACAAGAAATGAGGGTGAAGCATTAGAGCCAATCAAGAAGGGCCTTATATATATTCAACAGAGTCCAGATGCTAGCCTGTGAGTCAGAAGTTCTTAGAAGGGATTTTGGGACCTACTGGCTTATTGTAACCTGCTAGGTACTGGGTCAGTGGGAGGGAAAGGAGTTGCCTTACTGCTAGTGGAATAAGAATTGAGCATGAACCACAGTTTGTCTTGTACCTGAGTATCCTCTAAGAAATCTGGACTCCTTCTGGGAGATCTGTTCATGAGAGTATCATTTAAAAAATATTGTATGACTGAAACAGCTATGAAAGATGAGGAAGAGACAGCAAAGGGATTTAATGGGGAAGTGACATGGTTAGATTGGTGTTTAGAGGGATCATTCAGATCAAATTGGAGGGGCCCATATTAGAGGTAGGAAGAATCATTAGAAGATTATTGCAAAGGTGCAGACAAAAGACAATCAAGGCTTGCACATCAGTTCAAGCCCTTAGAAGTGGTAGAGTGGCCAGAAATGAGGATCTGCATTCCACGTAGTTAGGAGTCAGATCATCAGGACTTGGTGATGGATGGATGTGGGCTGGGGAGGCGGGTGAGGTGAAGGGAGGAGTGGAGGGTGGCTGCACATTCCTGGCTTGAGTAATAACAGGGAACATAGCAAGAGGGCTAGTGGGGAGAAATGCTAAGTTAAGCTTTTGAGGTGCTGCCACTATCCCATGTAATTTTGGGCCTAGGGGTATAAACTGAAGAGTCATCAAAGTTCAAAAGTTAGAGTAAACCATCAGATAACTCAGGAGGAAGGGGTAGAGGGAGAACTGCAGAGAACCCCCAGTAGGAAAGCCAGAAATATGCCGGAGAAACTTGCTCAAATGGAGAAAACTTAAAAGACTGTGAGACCAAACATAATCTTTCAGGGATGATGTAGCCAAGATACTGAGGTCCCCCAGATCGAGTGATGACCTCCCAAAATCTTAGACTCCATTATTTCACCCTTGGGTAGGTTCAGTGTGGATTTGTTGTTTGGTGCTTATCCCAGTAATAATATTCAGGGGTAAAATCCACAAGTACAACTGGGTGATAAAAATTCTCCTATCCTGAGCCACCAAGGTCCCTTTTTCTACAGCAACTATAGTTTCTTGGGAATCCTTCCAAAAATATCTATGTACCTGCAAGTAAAAATGGACAGATAGATTTATTCTCTGTTCTCAGATGTCCTGTGTTCTTTAGCAGATAAGCCTTTTAGGATCTGGCTGTGAGGGTTCTGTCCATATGCTACATCCTATGACCCAGTTTAGCATCTGCCCTTACCTTAAGATATCTGCACACGTCTCCTCTCCCTGGGTCTGGATCCATGTGTCTTGCTGCTAGAGTCCCAGCTGGAAGGACAGAATCCTTCCCTCTGCCCACTGGCTGATGTTGACTTGGGGCTCCTCATGGGCCATTCTTCTTCCTTGAATGGTCACAATGTTGCAACCGTTAGTTCAGTGGCCAGTCTTCCTTCCATAAGTAGCCAGCTTCTTTTCATAACTGTGTGACCCTCACACAGTCACCTCTCTAACAGAGTCCTGAGATTCATCTAACTCGAGAGAATGGACTTCCCACCTTCTCCCTTCCTCACACATCAACTCCCTCCTGTCCCGCATCCCAGGCCTAAGACAACCATCTAGGGCCCCTGGGGAAACAGCAGAAGCCAGCAAGTCTTCCTGCAACCCTTGCTTCCCAGATTCTAGCTCAACTTAGCTCAGTTCTGCCATCCCTACTCCTTCCCTTGGGGGAAGGTCTTCACGAGCCTCAAGGGCTGTTCTCTAGCCCCTGGGATAAAGAATTCCAAAAGGTGATCTTAAACCAGAGCCCATGGTTTTGCATGAAATTTTAGGAACCATAACTTCCAGAACAGTCTTCACTGGCATGAGGATCTTCTGTTGGTCCCTTGGAGGAACTATGAGGAAGTCTTTTAGTTCCATGGCCCTGTTCAAGCAAAACACGTGTGGAAATATTAACAAGAAATTTAGGGACATTGCTAAAAATTTATTTTGAAAAAAGACTTTTTTTTCCTGTAGAATAGATAAACAAGATTGCACTGTGTAGCACAGGGAAATATACACGGGGTCTTGTGGTGGCTCACAGCGAAGGAGAATGTGACCATGAATGTA